AAGCCGCAATAAACATGGGTATGCATATATCTACTTGGGTGCCAAGACTTTGACATTTTTTCAGCACCTTCTGTTCCCCAGGGGACTCAAATGCATGCTGCTTCCAGCTGCTTTGGCAACATTGTTCCAGCACTGATTGGCCTCAGACGCAACCTCACTTCAGGATGGCTGAAAGGTCACGTCTTTAGTGCAGGAGTCCGAGCTCTTGTTTGTGGCTGGAGAGAGTTAGCAGCACCTCCTGAAAGAAGGAGCCGGCAAATCCAGCACATGTGATGGGCAGTGAGGGACCCTGTGTGTCCTTGGACCCAAGAGCCCAGAAGACCTGGCTGCCTGCATTCTGCCAGGCTTACCCCGGCTCCCCACCCTGGTGTCCTTTCTTGGCTTGAGGAAAGCAGGCCAAGTTGTATCTGCAGACCTTCTCGTCAGCTGCTGTCAGAGCACAAGCTGGCACCTTGGGCTTGAGCTGAGCACACCAGGAAACAGACCTTGTTGCCTAGCTAACAATGTTGAAGGCTTACCCATAATTGTATTTCCAGTTTTGCCTGCATCCTGGGGCACTGCAAATAGCAGTTGCATTAAGACTAAACGAAGCAGTTGTATGTGTCCAGGAGTCTGAAGTATAAGGCTGTGTGCACTGCCCATCTTTCGTTAGCAGAGCACCTAGGATTCTCACCTGTCTTGGGCTGACAATGCAACTCCATACACTCAGCTGCCGGAGCTCAACTTGGCGTATACTCCCCTGTGAATATACCTTCGTTGAAATGCTGTCCTTTGCTGCTTTGTTTAGGTCCCAATTATAGAACTTCAGCTCTGACTTTTCCTTATGTAATGTGTTTTCTCCCCTGTTTATTCCTGTCAGGTTGGATTTGGTCTAGAGAGTCTCAGAAGGAAATAGAAAGAGAGAGAGAAGCCTTCCGTCAGAGAACAGCTGCCTTCCAACAGCACCTTGAGGAGAAGTACCACACCATGATCTCAGAAAATCGCCGGGCTGTTGCACAGCTGTCCTTGGAGCTTGAAAAGGAACAAAACAGATCAAGTAGCTATCGAGAAGCCCTTATCTCGCAGGGCCGCAAGCTGGTGGAAGAGAAGAAGCTTCTGGAACAGGAACGGGCGCAGGTCATGCAAGAAAAGAGGCAGCCCTTGCGGAGAGTGTATGAGAGCTGCCTGGAGAGGGAGGAGGACTGGCAGAGGAGAGCCCGGCTTCTGCTGAAGGAGTTCGAGGACGCGCTGAGCGAACGGCAGAGCATCTTCTGCAGCCTGGTCCTCCCTCGCCGCAGGCGGCTGGAGATTGAGAAGAGCCTGCTGGTCCGCGCGGTCACTGACCCCGTGGCTGCTGACCTGGAGATGGTGACTGGCCTCACAGACATATTTAAACACGACACGTACTGTGGGGACATCTGGAACACCAACAGACGTCAAAACGGGAGGCTCATGTGGCTGTACCTTAAGTACTGGGAGCTGATCGTCGAACTGAGAAAGTTTAAGAGAGTAGAGAAAGCCATATTGGAAAAATGAGATGAAATTGGACTTAGTACAGGAAGCCATTCAGGGGGCCTCAGGGTCCTTCCTCTGCTGCATGTTCTCCCTAACAGGCATCTGGGGTCTGAGGGTATCCACCTCGTGTTCTTCAGCTGCTAAGGGCACGACTCCTGTGGAGGGGACACAGCCCCTCTGGAAATTTTCAGCTGTGGTATTTTATTTGGCAGAACAGTATAATCTCCTGTTTTAGTTCTGGGGTAAATTGGTTTTATTTAGAAAGTACAATGCATTCTTGATCTTACCCTAAGTACTTTTTGTCTAATTTTATCAATCCCTGAATCAATTCTATTTCCTCTCTCCCAAAGTGACTTTTAAAGGTTATTGGGTTGTGGATCAGTGGTCTATAATGTAAAGCTTGTCCTTAAAATTATGACAATTTTTTATTTGTATAATTCTTTACTCATTACAAAAATTTTTTAATCTATGTTATGAATTGAATTGTATTCCAAAATATACATTTATGTAATGATACAATGTAGATGCTCTATAATGATCTCCCGAGAGCTGATAAACTAGACACTTGGAGGAAGATGAAAGGTGGCCACACCTCTCATCCCGTCCTGGCTTCATCGATCTGATGGAGTGTTTCCCTAGAGTGTAGCCTGTATTAACTTTTTATCTTTATAGAGATGGAGGGGGGAGAAGGGTCTCAGCCCCACCAAGAAGAGATCACCAGGTGTGAGGTGGACCTGGGCCCCTGGAGATGACCAGGACATGGCATCGCCAAGGATCCCAGCCTTCACACAACAAGGCAACAAGGGCGTTCATCCACAGCTGTCATAGAGCAGGCCTTCCCCTAGTACTGCATTTGGACTTCCAGCCTCATTAAATGGTTAACAGGAAGCTCTGGTGGCAAGAAGCTAAGCCACCCACCCGAGCGAACACACTGTGAATCCACCAGCTGCTCCATGAGAGATGTGCAGTCTTGTGTGTGATTTATGACCTCTGAAAACCCACTGGAGGGTCAACTGTGAGTCAATTCTGAGGCGATGGGACATATCAACAGATTGTTAAGAGAGTAAGCTTCAGTTTGTTAAAGCCATCCACTTGTGACTCTCTTACAGCGTCACGAGGTAATTAAAAAATATGTTACCTCACAAACTGAAAGGGAGGTAAGGCGCTTGCTGTTCCTGGTGCCATCAAGTTAACTAGTCATTATGACCTAAAAATAGCAGATCTGAACCCTGTCCTGTTCTGTGCCTTCCTCATCATCCCTGACACACGGAGGCACTCTGTCTCGCTCTCCTTAGCTGACCTCCAGCTTTCTAAGCTTGCTGCTGTTGTCAGGTGCCATCGAGGCACCTTGTGTGACGTCAGTTCCTCCTCAGAGACTCGACATGTACAGTAAAGCTCTACCCCATGCTGCACCACACTCAGAACCATCCATGTGTTTAATCCTATTGTCAAACTATTGTCTCAGTCCATCTCACATTTTGGTTTTGGGGTTTATTTAGGGTTTGTTGATTTTTTAAAAACATACAGTTCACTGTTTCTTTGTGTACAGCAGGGATATGTCCTATCTCCATACCTGTATGCAGAGCAGATTATCCAAGAAGCTGGGCTCTATGAGGAGAAGTGTGGCATTGGTGGAAGATCTGTTAACAGTCTGAGTTATGCAGATGACACAACCCTGCTTGCTGAAACTGAGGAGGACCTGAAGCGCTTGCTGCAGAGGGTCAAGGACTGCAGCCTTGAGTATGGACTGAGGCTCAATGTCAAGAAGACAAAGATTCTCACCACTGGACCAATTGGTAGCATCAGGATGGATGGCGAAGAGATTGAGATTGTTCGCAGCTTCAGTTTGCTTGGCTCCACAGTCAACACTCTTGGCACCAGCAGCCAGGAAATAAAAAAACGTATTGCGATGGGAAAGTCTGCAGTTAGGGGCCTCTCTAAAGTACTCAAGAGCAACGGTGTGTCTCTGGAGATTAAGATGCGCCTGATACAGGCCATGGTCTTTGCAATCACTTGTTATGCATCAGAGAGTTGGAGAATAGAAGGAGAATTGATACCTTTGAGCTGTGGTGCTGGAGAGTATTGAATGTACCATGGACTGCCAAGAAAACAAACAGATTCATCCTGGAGAGGGTTAAACCAGGCTACTCCTTGGAGACAAGGATTCTGGGGCTTCGTCTGACATACTTTGGGACCTGTAAGGAGGGACAGGTCCTTGGAGAGGGATATCATGCTTGGGAGGGTGGAGGGACAGCGCAGGAGGGGAAGGCCCTCTGTGAGGTGGGTTGATTCAGTGACTGGGGTAATCGGGATGTGTGTGTCAGAGGCAGTGCGATTGGCACAGACAGGATAGAGCAGAGTTTCGCAAACGACTCGATGGCACTTAACAACAACAACAATAACAGTTCACTGTATGTGGTAGCCTAGAGCACACTTAGACTATCACTTGGACTAGCAGACGTGGCAATTGAGACTGAGATCTTAGAAATGGAAACACAGAAGGAGAAATAGCTGTAAGCAGACACTAGTGATTGAAACGTGGAATGTGAGAAGCATGAATGTAGGAAAATTGAACTTTGTTGAAGAAATGGAACGCATCAATATTAACATTAGGTATTGGCGAAATGAGATGGCTTGGCATGGGACATTTTGAATCAGATGATCATAGGATTTACTATGCTGGGGTTGAAAAGGTGAGAAAAAATGGAGTTGATTTCATAATTAAAAAAAGTAATTTCTAGATTCATCCTGAAATACAATGTGGTGAACGACAGGATAATATCCATATGCATGCATACAAAGAAGCCCAGTGAATGCCACTGTCATTCAAATATATGTACCAACAACTTCAGCAAAAGAGGAGGAAATGGAAGATTTCTACCAACCTTTGCAGTCAGAAATTGATCAAACATGCCATCAAGATGCATTGATAGTAATGGGCAACTGGAACGCAAAAGTTGGGAACAGGGAAGAAGGATCATTAGCTGGAAAACACGGGTCAGCGAGAGAAATGAGGCTGGAGATAGAATGATAAGAGTGCTACACATTCAATGATTTATTCATTGCAAATACCTTTAATAAGAAACAAAAATGCAGGCTATACACATGGATTTCACCTGATGGTATGCATAGGAATCAAATAGATTACATTTGTGGAAAGACTTGCGGGAGAAGCTCAATTATCAGCAGTGAAAACCAGGCCGGGTGCTGATTGTAGGACAGACCACCAACTAATGCAAGTTCAAGCTGAAGTTGAGGAAAATTAAATCAAGTCCACAGGAACCAAAATTTGACCTTAAGTCGGTCTCACTCGAATTTCAAAACCATCTTAGGAACAGGTTTGAGGCCTTGAGCACCAATGAACATAGACCAAAAGAGCTCTGGGAGGATATCAAGAAAATCGTCCATGAAGAATGCAAAAGATCTAACAAGTTAAAAGTTGTTAGTTAAATTTGTGTCTTCTAGGCTGCAACACTTCCATGTTACATCTTCAAGGATATGAACATGCAGGACTAAGCACAATTGATAACAGTGCATCTAAATTCCAGAATCAATCT